AAGTCACGTTTGACTTCTGCAATTACAAGAGGTGCTCAAAACGATTACCATCAGCATCCAGACACTTCTGATTACGGCGAACTACTGCTTGAGCAACGTTGACAAAAGTGTTAGCATTTCTTAAAATGTGTATCCATTTTTTTGGCACCTCCAGTATATACAATAAAACACTGAGTGTTTTATTTATGTCTGTTTCTCTTATGAGAATGCACGCTCCATAAGAGCTAGTCTTGTACACAGGTATCTCAGTGACATATTCATGAGTGACATCGCCTGGCCCAAAGCTGCTTATTGTGTAGGATCCTTACTTTTTTATTTTTTTTTTCAAAAAGGAAAAAAAACACAAAAGTAAAATAAACAAAAAAGAAGACTGGCATTCATTTTGCAATTTAAAAAGTATCTTCAGGCTCAGAGAAGCACAGAGCTGAATGGGTGGTTTGCATTCAGTTTGTCTTTTAAAGTAGAAAAGACTTTTGCTTCTAAACATGATAGTAGCACATTAGCCTTCTCAACCTAAATAACTGTTATACTAAACAAATTATATGAGGCAACTATTTTCAGACATTAGATAACAGGCAGCACAAGAGTAGAATCCCTGAGAGAGTGAAAACACCCATGAGGCCCATGATGATCCTGATTTTTCGGGCTGGGAGGCACCTTCACACCGAGGCAGAGAGGATGGAGCCCACGCGGGGCTCCGCAGTCTCACTGAGACAGGGAATCAGCCTGAAGTTTGGGTTGCTGACATGGCAGGGTTATGTGAGGGAAAGAAACCGTGCTGAGAAGGAACACCAGAAATCTTTGGAGGAGTCTCATTTAGTCATCAGTCAAATGATAAGCTGTACCTGCACAGGGGAAGACTTCACAAAACCTGACAATGAACGATGCCTGGGAAGCTACGACTTTATCAGAGCCCTGGCAGTCACTGAGAGACAAGGCAGTTCTGAAGAGCAAGAATAAAGAGATTTCCTAGGCACTCAAGAGAGAGCGCAGAAATTCCATGATTTAGAAATAAGGCTACTCTTCCTCCTCCCTCTAAGAGAGCTTAAAAATAAGCCTGGAAAGGCACAGAAAGCTGATCTGCCAGTACAGTGATCCTCTCTTATCTGTGAGGAATATGTTCCAAGACCCCCAGCAGATGTCCGCCGAAACTGCGGATACTACCGAACCCTGTATGCACTACTTTTTTCTATACAAACATATCTATAATAAAGTTTAGTTTATGAACTAGGCACAGTAAAAGATTAACAACAATAATAAAGTAGAACAATAACAATATACTGTAGTAAAAGTTATGTGAATGTGATCTTTCTCTCTTTCTCTCTCCCTCCCCCTCTCTGTCTCCCTCTCTCCCTCAGATAACCAGTGTGATAAAACAAGACGGCTACTACGTGACCTGACAGGCAGGTAGTGTGTGCAGTGTAGATAGGCTGCACAAAGGGATGATTTATGTCCCTGTGGGATGGAGGGAGATGGTGCGAGACTTTATAACGCTACTCAGAGCAGTGAACAATTTAAAACGTATGAATTGTTTATTTCTGGAATTTTCCATTTAGTAGTTTCAGGCTGCAGTTGGCTGGAGGTAACTGAAACCATAGAGAGCAAACACCATGGATAAGGGGGGGGGGGCCTATTGTCATTGAACTGTTGATTGGAACAGAACTCAACAGTCTCTAAAGGAATGGGACAAAATCTGGATACTCAGTAACACAGTATCCAGCGTATTTTAAAAAATTACTAGCCATCGAAAGGGAAATATAACCCATAGTCAGGTAGAAAAAAAAAATCAGTTAATAGAAAATAACCCTGAGCTAACCTACATGTTGACATTAGGAGACAAGGGCTTTAGAGCAGCTGTTGTAACTATACCCAAGGGCCAAAAAAGAAAACAATGTAATAATGAATATACAGAGGGAAATCTCAACAGAAAAATACTAAATATAAAAATAATCAAATGGGAAATCTGTAAGACGAAGTACAAATTGAGAAATGAAAAACTACACTGGATCCAAATCCATAGACTGCACAACACCAAGAGTGAACCCTATGTGCACTCAGGACTTAGGGTGATTATGACGTGTCAGTGTAGGTTCATCAGTTATAACAAATGTACCACTGAGCGGGGATGTTGATAATGGGAGGCTGTGTATGTGTGCCGTGGGTGCAGGGGGTATGTGGGAAATCTCTGTACCTTCCCCTCAATTTTACTGTGAACCTTAAACCGCTCTAAAAAATAAAGTCTTAATTAAAAAAAAAATTAAAAATGGCAAAAATTGGGCTGGGTGAAAAAATTTATAAAATTAGCACTGGCAGAAGGAAGAGTCAGGGAACTTGATAACAATTAAGTAGAAATTATTCATTTTAAAGAATGGAGAAAAGAGAGGTTGGAAAAAAAGGAAAAATAAACTGAACAAAGGTTCCATGATCTGTGAGACAATATCAAACTGCTCCATTATGTGATTGGCATCTCAAAAAGAGAGGAGAGAGAATGAAAAAAAAGAATTTTTTTTAAAAGTTATGGCCAAATTTTCCCCAAATTTGAAGGAAATAAACTTACACATCCAAGAAGGTTGACAAACAATAAGGTAAATATTAAACAAACAAACAAACAAACAAACAAAAAACAACTTACCTAGGCACATCTTAGTTAAACTGAAACAGAAGAAAATTTTGAAAGAAAGCAGAGGGAAAAATGACCCAGCACATACGAGGAAAAACATAATGCAGATGTTGGCTGCCTTTTTGTCAGAAAATATAGAAGCAGGAAGACAGAGTAACATCTTTAAAGGACTGAAAGAAAAAAAATTCTGTTAGCCTAGAATTCTACCTCTAGTACAAAGTACCTGCAATACTAAAGACAAAATAAAGACACATTTCAATTAAAAGAAAAAAAGTGTTGCCAGCATATGTGCCCTGCAAGACATGCTAAAGGAAGTTCTCCGGCCGGAAAGGAACTAACACTGAATGGAAACATGATTTACCAGAGGGAGTGAAGACTACAAGAAATAATAAATATGTGAGTAAATATAAAAGAATAATGGTTTACAGCAATAATTTTAAGATTGTATTATGGGGTTTAGAACTATGTAGATATATATGTCAATACAGCACAAAAGACGGTTGTGGGTAAGTGGCACTATACTGTTTCAAGGTTCTTATATATTTTTCAAGTGTTACAATATTAACTGTAAGTAGAATGTTACAAATTAAGACGTATGTTGTAATTCCCAAAGCCACCAAAATATGATGCCAGGAGATGCTGTGAAAAATCCGAGTAATTAAATAGAACACACACACACACACACACACACACACACACACACACACACACACACAATTTAACCCAAAAGAGGGAGGAAAGGAGGAAGAGAGGATCAATACACAGGGCAAATAGAAAACAAATAACAAAACGGTAAACCCATATCCAACCATACCAATAACTATATTAAATACAAAGTAGAGGAAACACTCTAAAAGTCAGAAAGATTATAATAGCAAGGCGCAACTATATCCTGTCTATAAGAGATGTACTTTAAAAAGGAGAAAGGCCAAATCCACAATTGAAAGGAAAGACTTTTAATGCCCCTTTCTCAGTAACTGATAAAAAATTAGACAAGAAATTTAATAAAGATATAGAAGATCTGAACAACACTGTCAACCATGTTGATCAAATTTGAGAATACTACACCTGATATCTGAATAATGCACATAAAATAGTTCTCAAAATTTAAAAGATTACAATGTGTATCCTCTAGCAATAATGGAAATGATTTAGAAACCAGTAACAATAAGATCTATAGAAAAAACACATTTTTAGATATCAAACAATCCATGAATCAAAGAAGAAATCACAAAGATGATTTTAAAATATTTTTAAAGAAATGAATATGGAAACACGGCATAGCAAAATGTGTGAAATGCAACTAAAGCTGCTTGCATCACCAGGAAATGTATACCTTTTAGGTTCTTGCTTATATTAGAAAAGTAGAATGGTTTAAAATCAAGGATGTAATTTTTCCACCTTAAAAAGCTAGAACAAGTTGAGCAAATTAAACCCAAAGTAGAAGGAAGAAAATAATAAAGATTAGAAATCAATAAAATGTAAACAAACAGAATTTAAGAAGCCAAAAGTTGCATCTTTGAAAAGATTAACAAAATCCATAATTAGTAAGAAAGACTTTAATTGACTAACACACACATATACAGTCCCTTTACAAAACTTTTCAGATGTGTTATGGAATTCAGCATTTTAGATTTTAGAAGGTCCTGTCCTGCAAATAGTGTATATTATTTAATATCCTCAGGGAGTTCTGGGTAACACCCTACAAGTCAAACGTATTAATATTTCTGTAGTGAAATGTATAAATAATCACTTTTACAAGGACAAAGACTATGGGTAGCCTCAGTTCAGGTCAGGTTTTGGTAGCAAAACTTCCAAATCAAATTTGATATTACAGGTTTTTTTTTTTTAATTTCTGAATTGCAGAATTGATGTAGCAGATTTGTAATAAATTGATTACTCCTTTTTACAGATGTTGATGTCCCTGGACATAGGACAGTGCCCCATTACTAAGTCTTAAGGAATGACTTTCTTAGCTATGATCACAGGATGAATTTTTTCCTCTTACAGCTTCCACGAGACTAGAGGGGTCAGAATATTTAGTGAATCCAATGACCTTTATGGTAACCTTTGCGTAGATTTGAAAAGAGGACATTAGACTTCCAGGAAACTGGGCTCTTGGCCAGAGGACAGAAATTTCAGGGTAAGAAGCATATTCTCTTCCAACATATACTTTTATAGTAAAATAACAAAATCATCAAATTTCCAAACACACAACAGTAAACAGTGATATATACAAAACTGAAAATATCCTTGAAATTCTATACAACCAGCATTTGTACTTTCCATTTTAAAATTCTATTTTTGTCAGGAAAATTCTACACAGAATATATTTTAAGTCAACAATGAAAACAGCTGAAACCATAGTGCTAAAAGTGATGTCATGCTTTATTTAAAATAATCTGAGCAGAAAATGTATTGGCCCAATTTTCTAATCATTATCTCAAATTTTAGGGAAACCCAATTCTATAAACCTAATATTTAATTCTCAGGAAGACCATATCAGGAAGAACAGTAATGGAACAGTATTCACAGTAATAATTGTAGCCCATGCAATACTCCTATATAGATGCTAATTGGAGCCATGCATGCATTAAATCACATATGTGTACTTACTATTACTGCTACTGCTGTCATTCTTAAGGGAGTTGGCTGCAACAGGGGGTAACATAAATGGTTTTGTGACACTGACTCTGGAATCTAAATAGAAAGCAATAATGTGTCAGTGTTGCATGGCGATTTACATAATTAAAGTCCCCACAAGGCCAAGTGCAATACCAGAGTGCTTTCCAGGTCCACTTCCCAAGTCTAGATTATTCAGATCCTATTTATTTCGTCCTGGGTCATGCTGCTGTTCTATTTTTATTAAGAAATTCACCACACTCACCCTTATAGAACAAAGAATCATCGCCTACACATGTAATAAATGTAAATAATGCAAATTGTTGGTAATTGGTCTTTTTATTTATTTTTTTAATAAAAAGCAATGATATTAAGATTTTGTATTATAGGGACCCAGTCGGGAGAAAGTTTCAATACACAGCAACTAGCAAAGGTCAGAATTCATGACTCAGAGTTAGGCCTTTTAGAAAAAGATTTGAGAAGGGGACATTAAGAAGATGGGAGGTGAAGAATAACATAATTGTACATTACGAGCAAAAATCAGATAAGAAAAAAATATGAATGACTATCTCATTTATGTTTATTCCTATGCAAGTCTTTAATTTGAATATCACAAGTGTTGTTTTGGCTAAAAAACAAATCTACAACCATTCATTTATTTTGTGGTATTGATATTTGCTTTTATACTAGACATAACATGCATATATCTTTCTCTAACTACACATATATTTGAGTTAGAGGTAGATTCTTACCTACACATATAAGCTTCTAGCTTGCTTTTAACATTTAGAGTAGAAATGCTTATATGTCTTACCTTTTTCAGGGCTTAATGTTAAAGAAACCGCACATTCATTAGTTTTAGATGACACCATCTCCAAGTCCTTGAAGGCATCGATGGATCTATTAAAAATTCTAAAGAATTCTTTGGGAGTAAACAGCTTGGATTCGAGGCTCTTAGATGATTTTTTTACATTCTAGAAGAAGAAAAAAACAAGATTATATTTTTCAAATAGTCTACAGATTTAACTGAAGTCTAAGTAATAGACTATGTCCTTGAAAGATTCAAGGAAAACTAACACTCTTGGACAACTGTTTTAAATGTACACAATTCAAATTAGTACAGAAGGAGAGTGATTCCATTAAGCTCAGTCTGAGGCTCAACTCTGAAGAAAAGGAATAGAGTAGGCGGTGGGGGTGAGTAAAGTGAATTACAACGCCATAACAATGGAATAATCCGAACAGCAAATTAGAGGCATTGCTCTTTAAAGATGTTCATTAAAATCATTATCCCATCTTTAAAAAACAAACAAATAAACAAAAAAGCTTCCATAACACAACCTCCAAATAGTCAAAAATTAAAAAGTCTGGTGATGCCAAATATTGACAAAGACACGGATGGAGCTAAGGGGACTCTTCTACACTGGTGGAATGATGTAAATTGGCACATTTGATATTATCTAGTAAAGTTGGACATGCGCCCATTCTGTGACCCAGAAATTCCACTCTTACATAAATACTCTGGTGAAGCTTTTGCACTGTGCACCATGAGACATGTAAGAAAGCTCTGCAGCAGTTGTTTATAAATGCTTAAATCAATCAACAGGAGAGTAGTTTAATAAATTGTGGTCTATTGAATCAATGTAATATTCTATAAGCAGTAAAAAATTAACCACAGCTATATGCATCAAAATATAAATCTTTATAATGCTGAGATGAAAGCATCCAGACAAAAGAATAAAGAGTGATTAATTTCTATAAAGTCCCCCAATGCAAATCAAAGCTATATTTTAGGAATTCATAAATGCATGATTATCTATAAAGAAAATCAGTTAATAGTAAGTTAACACCTACGTATCACTTACTATGTACTCCTCCTCTAAGTGTTTTATATATATACACACACACACTTTCACACACTCAATCTCCAAAACAACCGAGAAATACTGATATGAATCTCCTGGGTTCCAGCCAAAGTGTCATGATCCCTAAATGTGTATTCTTTCGTATTTAGAACTCTCTTCCTGACGTTGCCATTTACTGAACACCTAACTCATCTTTCAAGCCCCAACGCATATGGGGCTTGAAAGCCCCATCATGCCATCTTGTCTGATGTACCCTACTTTTTGTGACCTCTACTTCTTATCAATGCCATCAGCACACTATTTGTACTAGTATGATATAAAAAGAGATGTTAACTGTAATATGTCATTGATTGTAAGATACATTCTGACTCAGAAATTAGAATGTCAAATAACAGAAGTTAATAAATATAGTGATTAGGTAGGTTATTAGCATGATAAGAATTCTGAGATTGGAGAAAACAAATGGGACTGATGTTGGGTCTCAAAGAATAACTGGGATTTCAATGGGGAGGGATTATTTGAGTATTACGGTACAGACTCATTTTTTAAATCTTAGGTTTAAACTTCTAGAAGGCCTGTACGCTAAACCTTGGCTTGTGAACTCCATGCCAAAGCAAGTCTCCCAAGACTTATTCTATTATAGACACGGTGTAATAAAATAATAATAATAAAAATATTCATTTGCCAGACACAGTGCTAAAGCAATCATCTGAAATCATCTAATGTCAACTCTATGAGATGGATCCTGTCATTGTCCCATTTTAGGCATGAAGAAAGTAAGCACAAAGGGGTTAAGTTCACAAAGCAAATTTGTGACAGTGTCAGGATTTGAAGTCCAACACCTTATACGACTCTCTAGGGGTACACCGCCTCTCCGGTATGCTTAGAACCCAAATCATTGCCATGCCCATATTCTGAGATTGATAACAACTATTGCTAAAATGAATTGGAGTTGCCAAAATGCACTTTTTGTTATGACATGATTACTATAGAAAAGAGGTCAAGTATATATGTTCATTGTAGACAATTTTCCATTTAAAGGTAAATGAACATTTGCAACCTAATAGGGAAATTATGGGAATTTCATTCACTTATGAAATAAAGATATAGTTGGGCTGTTTTTACATTGTCACGTGAATTACTTTTATATTAAATGACAACATTTAGGACTTAATATACACTTGAATATTGTGGTATAATGAAAAGCACCTACTTCTGTGCTCATCTTTCAAGGTATTTTTAAATTAAAAGTTTATACATTAAAAATCACACATATTATAGATGCACCCATCCCTACCACCTCAATCAGCATAGGTTTTAGAGAAGAGTAGTACAAAGCAATCCCGGTAAATATAAGGTTACCTCAAATGGGCGTCGTCCTTCCATGCACTCCACAAGGTCATCCACTATTTTCACCAGTTTGTCTATGATAGAATAATTACTCAAGCCTTCAGAAATATTTGAAAACTTGTCCAGAAGATCAGTCAAGCTGACTGACAATTGTTCCACCATTTCACTTATCCAACAATGACTAGGCTGCAAGAAATTGAAAGAAAGGAAGATAAAGCATCTATTTTAAGTACAGTAAACTCAGAGCACCCTTTAAAGACATCAATGTTGCAGTCACTGACTGTCAGACAAAGGATTTCCTTATATCAGAACAGGTCAGTTCTTGTGTTTTGTTTAACTCAGATCTAACATCTGTTTCAAAATTTACAAATACGTATAGATCAGAGGAAAGAATTGATGGTAAAGATTCTGCTCTTCCATGGAAGTATAAATTAAGACAAGACACAGTCAACTTTTACCCTTGACAAGGTTCAGATATTAATGGAATTTAATTCCATTGAAGAATACTTATTCTTTATTCAATGTGTTCTTAAAAGAGTTTTAGGCACAGAAGGACTTACAAAGAATTATTGTAAGAGAGAGTCCTAGCTCTCAAGGAACTTCCAGTCTCCTGGTGAACTGGAATATGAAACAAGGGATTAATAATAGCTTATTTTTCTAAAGTGTTTGGTAGACCTCAAGCCATCTTCATAGATGAATTTATGTGGGTGTTGAAAAAAAAAACCAGCCTGGCAGAAATGTGGTCTGACAGAGAAGCATTTTTGCCTTAGTGGAAGAATCAGCTACATAATTTCTGGGGCCAAAGACAAAATGAAAATGTATTTATTATTCAAAAAATGATTAAGAATTTCAAGATGGTGACAGGAATGCATTAAACCAAGTATGGAGCCCCGCCCACAAAGCCAGCCTACAAAGCCAATCCTGCCCAATGGTTAGAAGCTCAAGTCTTAGAATCAGGCATAACTTGGCTCAGTTCAGCTGAGAGACTATAGGTAAGCTACATAAATTCTCTAAGCCTCACTTTGCCTGTCTATAGATTGGGAATAATGGAACCAGGTAGTTGTGAGGAAATAATAATGTACATAATTTGAATGTAAGTTTCACAAGGGCAGTATTTCTATAAAATCTTGTTCCTCCTGGTGGTCCCTACGGCTGAGGACAGTGTCTGGCATATGGGAGTAGCTCAGAAACTATTTGCTGAACTGATGCATGAGTGAATAAAAAAATAAATGAATGAGAAAAAAATACCTCAAGGGTCCACATATTCTGTAAAGGGCCAGATAGTAAATATGTTAGGCTTTGTATGCCAAGAGGCAAAAATCACTAATACTGTGTAAGTATATTTCTACAAGAGAAAACACATTTCCACTAAATTGTATTACAAAATTAAAAATGTAATAATAATTGGATACAATTTCTTTTTCATAATAACTGAATTTAATTGCTTTTGCAATATGGGTCTACCAACAAGAAAATGGATTTCTTTATTTTCGGTCAACATTTTGCTTAGTTGAGGTTCAAAGTCAGCATTCTCTATCATCAAATAGACTGCAAATGTTCATCTGTAAAAACCAGTCCTAGCTGGCAGGCTGTAAACAAAACCAGGCAGCAGACTGGATCTAGCTTATGGGTTATATACAATAGCTGCTGACCCTGCTTGCTGTAAATGGCTGTGGATCAATAATGGTTTAAATTATTAAAAAGAACTTTCTAGTATATTTGAATGGATTTTAATATTTCTTAAATTAAGGTAATATTACTTAAAATATAATTGGTCATAAGTTCACAGACTTTGTATATTTTAACATTAACTTTTAAGTAGTGGCTCTGATTTATTTTTTTTAACTCTGCTAATATGTTACAGTGAGAAAAATAAGACAATTATTAGGAATAGCTAAAACTGACTTGGCTTATTAATATCCTAAATAATTTACTATAACTTGTATTGTATTGCAATCATAAGAGTAACTGATGCCATGTAAAAGGAATCAAACCACTAAATTTTATTTCTCTACTCACCAGCAAAGTATCTCTGTGGGGAAAAGCAACTAATTTATTGATTCTAAATTATACATGGGGGCCATTTTATATATTCATTTAATAGAAAGATTTAATTAATATAATACACACAAAAAAGAAACTGGTTTATCTACAGATAGGTAAACTCCAATTCCTAGAAGCAGTAAATGTCATTCAAAACTTTTAGGATTGTTTGCTCTAGCTTCCGATAAGTAGAATAAACAAACCCTTAGTGGGAATTAATTCAATTAGACCATTTCATCAACTTATCAACCAAGGGCAGAGTTCCTAGAATATGAAATACAGCGCATACTATAAACACAGTTGGAATAGCATTTATGTGGTAGAACAGCCTTTACCAATTAGTTAATTCCACTGGAATTGTGCAAATTATTCTGTGGCAAGCAGAATCCACATATTAATCTCTTCAAACTTTTTCCTTGCTTCACTTTCTAAACACATTTGCCTATCCTTCTCTTGGCCCTTCTGACATGCAGGAACCAAAATTAAATTCCCTTGTTTTGAACTGACTGAACTAAGGTCCTCCTTTTGTTACTGTGGCCTTTGCCTTAAATGAACAGGTTCCTTTTTTTTTTTTTTTGCTTTTTTGTGGTTCAAGTAGAAAATAAATATTTTATTTATATGTACCTTATCTTTAAACACCCATGCTTACTGACATTTCTGTTTATCTCTATTTTCAACTGAGTTCCATGTTTACATTCTGCATTCAAGTTCTTGTTTAGCTATTACTATGCCCTCACGGCCACCCACTCTCACTCTCCCGTTTTCACATACGTAATCAACAGTCCAAGCAATCAACTTCTTCCCATAAAATTTGCAACCCTAAACCTGCAATTTGTTACAGTTATATCATGGAAATCCCACTATCTAATCTTAGTCCAATATCTGTCCTTTTAAAGTAATGAACAATTCATTGATGGTTGATATGATATGAACTTCTGGACTACACTGCTGAAAAAGATATTTTAAAAAATCCTGAAATTGTATTTCATTCATTATTCATTCTTGCCATAATTTCCTTGGAAAAGGCTGTATAATAGATTTAAAGTTTTATATTTTCATTAATTTGTGTAAACAGTTTTTAAGATTCTTGGATTTATTAAAGATAAAACTGAGTTAAACAAACAATAAAAATATCAGCCGGTTTTTACCTGTCTGCCTGCGAGAGAGGAAACCAGTTTTGACTAGAATGTCAAGCAGTTTCGTATTTTCTTTCTAATTAAATATAGTCAATGATTTGCAAAGAGAACAAAACAAGGTGAACTGAATATTTCATGTGTGAGATGATAGGAGGTCTTTCTGTTTTTCAACTCTTCCAAGATTATGATTAGGAAATGGATGATTAAAGGTTGTAAAGTTCACAAATGTAATTTTTTTCCTTTGTCTTAATAACAGGCTTTATGGTCACTATTTCTTATCTCTCAGAGACTATTTTAAACTTAAATAGTTCTACATAAATATTAACTCACAGTATTCATTAGAAGAATGTAAAATATAGTGTTCTTTCTTTCACTAGTAGAAGAATGTGAAGGATTAGGAAAGTTGATAAAGCCACAGAGGGTGTCAAAGTCGTGATGTAAAGAATACCTTTCAAATTCCTGAAGTACATGTAATTCAGTTTTATTTTATTCACCCATATACATAAAAAGAAATACAGTCCTTGCTTTGAAAGGGAAAGTTTGTCTGGGTTTTCTTTAACTCCATAATCTCAATTTCTTACCTTCTTTCTTAGTAGCTTCTGTTTTACACTTTCTGGTTAATTACAGCAGCTCTAGCTAGGTCTACTGGAACAGCATATCCTTTATATGCGTATATTTTTATAATGTGTGTCATTCCAGAATGCTAACTGAAATCAATGATATTGAATCAATATCCTTGACCTGCTAGCACACCCCTACCACTGAAGATTTGGTTAAAAACTGTGAACTTTCTAAGGGATTTTAAAGTACAATGAGCACCAAATTAATGATTTAACTAAATGATTCAATAAAAGATATAATAACTATAATTAAAAGCATTCTAAACATAAGTAGGACTATGACCACTTCCGAAGACCAACAATGAAAATAACCACGCACATTCTAAAACTACACATAAATTTAAAATAGATGATATATGAATTTCATAAGATGTGTGATATGATACCTCTGTAGTCCCAGAACTGGTAAATTTGAGACCCAGGCTGAAATACACTTTGTGCTTTGAAAACATTTGGGGGACTTACCAAGACTGGCAAGCTTTCTTCTTTCCTTCTTCCTGCTTCATTCAGGAAACTGTTCTGGTTTATTAGTTGAAAGAATTTGACACATTGTTCTGCATCAGACTTAGATGCAGAGAGAGTGTCTAACCACAAGCTTTATGTAATTAGAAGCAGAAAGTGGACAAGCGGTATTGCGGTATGTCCTCACTTAACATTGTTGATAGGTTCTGCGATTTTAAGCGAAAGGACGTATAACAAAACCAGCTTTACTATAGGGTAATTGATTTATATTTATGTTTATGTTTATACTTATATTTATACTTAACGAGAATTAATAACAAACTGACATCAAATGAAATGACCTTATTCAAGGGCCTGCTGTATAAATTTTCTCCGTGAATGGACTTGGCATCACTTTCCATTTGGTACGGTTACTAGAGAGGTATCTGTGTGCTTCCTTAGTGAGCCTAAGACAGGTATCTACACTGTGAGAGAGTTCTCTACAAGAGTTGAGGTGAAATAGCCATCAGTGATTCTGAGGGAGAAAAGCCCTGGCTCGTAAATTGTGAGGCCCCTGGGGAATATTCACAAGGAATAGTCACCCAGTCTTCTAATTCAACTAATCTAATTACCAGCATTGCCACCCAGTTTAATTGTTTTTGTTTAGTTTTCTTTAATGTGTGTCAAATCTCAGTCAAAGCCAGAATTAGAGGTATGAGTGCCCAAGGCACAAAGCATTCCTTTCTTTCCTCTCCTGCTTCCAGTATTTATCTCCTAGCTGAGCAAATCCAAAGAATCTAGAGCCATCCATTAGAATCACAATAGTTTCGATCTGGAAGGAATACTGAAGACCACATGGCCCATTCCCACCAGTTGCATAACGGGGAAAACCAAGGCCTAGAGTAATGAAGTGGTTTGTCTAAGGGTACCCACAAATTTAAACACA